TTTCGTGCTGGTGAGGTAGGTATCTGCAGCGGAGTGATTGGGAGCGTTTTGATGTTGACCATGGACCTTAAGAAGTTTGCGGCACGGATGCTCTTTATGTGTTGGGTTTCTCAGGTTGTGTTTTTGGGTATGTGGACTTTGTGGGCAACTGTAAAGCTATGAGCCATAGCTTGTTCTCCTCATAGACTTCGCACCGCTTCAGGAGGGTTGAGCATGGAGCAGTCACCTCCGATTCCTTCATTTTTCCACCTTGCATTGAATGTGACATCACCCAAACATGGCACTACTTAGCTCTTCACTATTCGTGTGTCAGTTCCTTGTCTAGTGGATACATGATACTTGCAACATTTCGGCATTTGGATCCGGTTTGCAGGTGCGTTGTGGAAACAGGCTTGGCAGGCCAGTCAAAATCCAACAGCATGCTGCAAACAACATTAGCAGTTTTCAATGTTTTCAAAACCCCTGGTGGTCAGACCATCCAATTTATTGGGGTTGATCATCCATTTTGAGAACCCAAAAAACGAGCAGTATAATGGGATCATATGGGATCTCAGGTTTTGAAGATGCACTCAAATCATGATCCAATTCAATTCCCATAAGAATTGGGCATTTCATGGCATTTCTGTCAGAGAGTCTTGTTGGTTTGACATAGTTTTCGAATGTTTTCGACAAATTGGCCATGCAGATGACACCGCACGATGTCAGCCTGGCATGGTGCAGAGCAGACGTGCCTTGGCAACTTGCACACAGTGATACACAGTCGTGCGACACAGTTGTGCAGTGCATCCCATTGATTCATATTGATTTGCAGTGTCCAGAGAGAACGCCTGTGGAACATGTGGAAACCATGGAAACCGAGGTGCTGCGTGAACTGGGAATCTGCACCAGCTAGCTGTGTCTCGTAGCCCACTGAGTTGTGCCGTTCAAAAAAAACTTCAGGGAGAGAACCGCATTGTGACATGGAACGATCATGGAACAGATGATATTGATGACACTGATGACATTCATGACATGATGATGTAGCTGCACATGGGAGCCGTAAAAGCAGATAACAAATTTATGAATTGATGCGTTTACTCTGCTTTGCGCGATTGCCAAAACCTGCATCGCGATAGGCTGAGCGATTGGTTGGCGATTGGTTATACGGCTACGACTACTACTACTGTGGCACTACCTCCCTCTACTGGTTTGCCTCCTAGTCACCTTGGAGGGGTGTTCCTCGGAGAGGTGCGTGTCTGGGTACAGAAAAACTTAAAGGGTTAGGGTGCCGCTCTAAAAGACTGAGAGGTAGAGAAAATGGAGGGAGGTGAGTTAAGTACCCTCCTGCGAAAGGCTGAGCGGATGATAGGGGTTAAAGAAGGGCCTTGTGCTAGGCGCGGTTCACAAAGGGGGTCCTTGTAGTTACTGAACGAACCTAGGCGAGTGGCCTATAACCTCCTATCTTTCCTGCCTCTTACTAACTAATAACTACTAGTACTACAGTACTACTAGTCACGACTAGTACACTCGTAATACTAAGTAACTACTATTTACTTACCTAGTACTAACTAGTACTACTAGTACTACTAGTGAACTACATATACTAAGTCTCTAACTACTACTAACTACTACTAACTACTACTAACTACTACTAACTACTACTAACTACTACTAACTACTACTAACTACTACTAACTACTACTAACTACTACTAACTACTACTAACTACTACTACTACTACCTCTACCTACTACCTACTACCTACTACCTACTACCTACTACCTACTACCTACTACCTACTACCTACTACCTACTACCTACTACCTACTACCTACTACCTATACCTACTACCACTACCTACTACCACTACCTACTACCACTACCTACTACCACTACCTACTACCACTACCTACTACCACTACCTACTACCACTACCTACTACCACTACCTACTACCACTACCTACTACCACTACCTACTACCACTACCTACTACCACTACCTACTACCTACTACCTACTACCACTACTACCACTACTACCACTACTACCACTACCACCACTACTACCACTACTACCACTACTACCACTACTACCACTACTACCACTACTACCACTACTACCACTACTACCACTACTACCACTACTACCACTACCTACTGCTCTGCTTTGATACTCCCTTGCCTCGCTATCTGTGCCCCCCTCCTTCCCCTCCTCCTCCCAGCCCTCCCTCCCTCCCTGCCCTCCCCCTCCTCGCCCACCTCCTCCCCCTCCTCCGCAGGGGCCTCCTTCGCCCCCTGCCTTCCCACCTGCCTACCCCCTCCTCCCAACCACTACTACCACTACTACCACTACTACCACTACCTACTACCTACTACCTACTACCTACTACCTACTACCTACTACCTACTACCTACTACCTACTACCTACTACCTACTACCTACTACCTACTACCTACTACCACCTACCACCTACTACCTACTACCTACTACTACTACTACTACCACTACTACTACTACTACTACTACTACCACTACCACTACTACCACTACCACTACTACTACCACTACCACTACTACTACTACTACTACACTACTACTACTACTACTACTACTACTATACTAATACTACTACTACTACTACTACTACTACTACT